CACACACACACACACACACACACACACACACACACACACACACACACACACACACACACACACACACACACACACACACACACACACACACATATGAAGATGCATATCATTGCCTTGTTTAATTGTTCGAAGACAGTTCCTTCCCTTTGGTCACTGGCCACTGCAGCCCGCTCAGGACAGCTCAGTCAGCCGTGTTGGAGAGCAGAGTCGGAGCTCTGCTGGTCGGGCCTTGCAGGAATGTTGCTTTACTCTGTAACCATGACAACAAGGAACTGAAAGAAGATGTAGATGGTTGTGCTGAGGTGGGGGGAAGTCGAGGCTGGAACATGATCTGTTCAGCAACCATAGATGTGTTTTTTCACTGACAGGAGTGATTTCACATATTGTCTGTTTACCTAAGATGAAGACATTATTATAGAAATGAAAATCATCTGCAACAGGTTAAGGAACGACAGGTGGAATACTGTTTTTGATAAAAATTGTCAGAATGAACCTTGTGAACCTGTGTGGTATCTGAGTTGATTATGTACAGACACGGCCGCTCTTATGTAAGCTTTAAGAAGATTGATGCTCCTCTGTTTAAAACGCTGTTATGTTATTTAGATAAAAAACCTGATCCAAGATCTATATCTGGTTTCAAACTCTCCACCAACATGTGCCTTAAAGTTGTCAAATAAAGGGCTGGTTAAAATTTTTAATTCCTGATCATTTGTTTGACAATCTTGTATGAGCTGTCTCCTCTGTTGTTCTAATTTAACTCAGATATATCTGTGTCCCAACGACTTCTATAACTATAGTTAACATGTATGCAGTTTCCATTGGGAGGGCCGGGGGAAACGTTTCGCATAAAGGGGAAAGATCAGTGGTTTCATTGAGTTGAAAAGAATGTAACCTTTATGTTGAGACTCCCCTGTCATTTTATTTTAATAAAGATAACATATCTTTTCCAAGTTAAGTCACGTCTATTATTCTATGTGCATTTGGAAATTTACGATGTTTTTTTCTCACAAATAACAAAAAGAAAGAGTGAAATGTACGAGAATGAATGTCCTTATTTTTTTCCTGTGTTCTTCATGATTTTCCTGACGTATGAGGCTTATGTGAGTTTTTTTTTTTCAAGCAATATGACCCAATTATTAAATCTGTATGGCTTCTACACAAATGACTGAATTGATCAATTTAATAAAAATAAGAAAGTTTTAAAAGTACATGATTAAGAGCAGGCCTGAAGTGTCACCAAATAATTTGTAGCTTCAGTTTTTAATATGAATAATAAAATAAAATAGGCAAGGCAAGTTTACTTGTATAGCACATTTCAATGATAAGGCAATTCAAAATTCAAAATATAAAAGGCATGATGACAAATTGTAACGTAAGACAATACAAAAAGGCTTTTAAAAATAAGAGTTAAATAGAGCATAAACATAAATAAATAAAATAAGGAGAAAGAATGAAAGTAACAGTGCAGTAATAGAATAGGATAGAATAGAATAATAGTGTTATTCGTAACCCAGACAGCTACTTTCTGTCCTCCCACTCGTTCTCTCTCTCTTCTCTGTCTTCATTCACACTGGCGCTCTCTCTCCTCAGCAGTAAACTACAGTTCCCATGGTTCCAGAGGTGTAAAGTGAGGCCAGCTACGGGTGCCCGGATGCTTTTGACAGTCAGGCACGTTGGAGAGGCTCAGAGGAGACTGGGGCGCACGAGAGGCAGAGCTGGAATTGCAGTGGCGGAGACGCACGGGCGCACGTCAGTTTTTTGCCTCCCGCAAACCGGGGAGTCCCTGTCACCGAGAACCGGAGGACAGCGCTCGAGCGCGGCCGTGTCAGCACCCGAACCGGGGGGCAGACTGTGAAGCAGCGTCCCCGCTCCCCGTTTTTTTTACATTTCTCACCTCTTCCCCTGCTTTTTCACCCCTTCTCTCTCCATCTTTGCGGGTGCAGATGTCGGTGTGAGCCAGAGGAGCGGTCGCACGAGACAGCGGCGGCGGCAGCGAGGAGACGTTGACGCGGGAGGAGAACTGTCTCCCTCCGAGGCGGGGATCCCAGATGAAGCGGGGACATGCTGCGCGCTGACGGCTGCGGACGCCGAAGCAAAGGCTCCGTGACCCGGGCGAGGAGAAGAGCGGAGCCCGCGTTGACACCGCACCAAGCTCCGGCAGCCAGCGCGAGCCCCCAGACCCTCTCTCTCTCTCTCTGTCTCCCAGGCTCTCTCTCCCCCGCGGTGAGTGCGCGTGCAGCGTCTTGTATATGAAGCACACAAGAAAAATGTGCCCGTGTTGTCCGCTCACCCAGATGTGCTGCACCTCTGGCACGCTCGTGCTGCGGGGTCATCTGGGCTTTACTGTAGGTATGCAACGTGTGTGTATAGATGTTAATTGATGATGGTGATCAAACACACACACACACACACGTATACATGTGATTGCATGTGCGCGCAATGAACCCTGTGTACCCCCACCTGTTTGTTTGATATCTAGATGAAATATTCTCACCTTGTAGCCTCTTTATCACTGAATATATGTACGATATAGACAAGACAGTCTCACACACGCACACACGCACACACACGCACACACACACACACACACACACACACACACACACACACACACACTCTTGTATTGTTTATTTGCTGTCTCCATAGATGAGCCCTGCATGTGTATGAGTTTAATGTCACTTTTCAAATAATGAATTTATATACCAGTGGGACACACCAGAGGTCTGACAGTGAGCCCAGCCTCTTGTGATGGACAGATGTTTGCTTTACGTATAAACAGGAGACACACTCACACACACAAACACAGAGAGATGAGATAGAGGGTCCCTGGTGAGCATCCCTGGGTTTCTATCCCTGGCAGCCCCCCTCCTCAGGAGCTACCAGGACAGTTATAGGCAGGACGCAGCAGCAGCAGCACATCCTGCAGTGGCAACAGGGGCTGCTGAGCTTGGAGAGACACGGCGTACTCATGGTGGTGATTATCAGCTCTTGTCTGTGGTTTAGTGAGGGGGGGGGTTGTGAGGAGTGAAAGAGAGAGGGGGGGTGACAAAGGAATAAAGAGTGCATGAGAAACTGAAAGAGAGAGGACGGGGAGAGAGGGAAGTCAATGTCAGTGTCTGGGCAGTGACAGTTCGTTATTTAAGGGCCCCTCGGAGACGTGCACAGGCTGCCCTAGTGCAGGTGCTGTTGGTATGCAGAGTGATGCTTTGTCTGTCTGTCTCTCTCTCTGTCTGTCTCCCTCCCTGTCTGTCTGTCTATCTGTCTGCCTTATACTTCACACACAAACACACACAAACAGTCTCACTCTCTCAGTCGCTGGTTGAAGAGTGAGTTCTCTTATTGGCAGGTCCACTTGGACATAATGAATAATTTCAACCCTCTGAATGCTGGAATGAAAAGGAAATGGCCTCACTTTGGCATGCAGCTGCTCTGTCAGACTTGTCTTGAGTGCATGGCCCTGTGTGTGTGTCTGTGTGTGTGTGTGTGTGTGTGTGTGTGTGTGTGTGTATGTGTGTGTGTGTGTGTGAGAGAGAGAAAGAGAATGTGAACATATAACAGCTTAGGCATATTGTGCCTCCTACCTGTGTGAGCGGGGCTAGTTGTCATAGTAACGGCCTTGTAGCTCCGTTGATGTTCCGCCTGTCCTCATTGGCAGGGTCAGCGCACCTAACACACCACATCTCGTCTCAAAGCAGAGTGTGTGTGTGTGTGCGTGCGTGTGTGTGTACATGTCTACTTCCAAGTGTGTGTACTTTGGAAATACCTTTTGTTTGTGGCCTGCTGCTGTTTGTAGGTGTGTGAGGGTTGATGGAACATCCAAGTCAGTGTGTGTGTGTGTGTGTGTGTGTGTGTGTGTCTGTGTGTGTGGTGCAGTGTCACAAAGATGCTCCCTGCTGATAAGACAGCCCACAGATCAACCAATCATCTGTTTTCCTCTCTCTGCCTATCAGCATGTGAGGTTGCCCTAGTCAGAGGTCCTCTTGATATGGAGGTCGTCATGGAGATGGAGAAGACAGAATGGACATTAATTAATGTATGCACATGCACACATTATTGCACACATGCACAAACATACAGATTGGTACAGTATTTATGGACTCCCGCTGATTTCCTGATGCTTCTGGAAGTTTTGAGTTCACAATGGTGCAACCTGTTGAATGGCTGAATAGCGGTTTAGAGGAGTTCCAGTTTATTCTTGCATTGGGTCTAAATATGAAGTAGGTTATCTTGAAAGATAGAATCACCTAATGAATCTCTTTGGGGTTTTTTTGTGGTCATATCATAAATATTTTACCTCAACTAACAGACACTACCACCAGACAGCTGTATAATCTAAATCAGAGGATAGCTTAACAGGGTCTGTTCAGATGCTGATTCTTCAAAAACAATCTCAAGCTTCATTTCACACATTTGGCCTCTAGCCGTGCACAAAGATCGTCGAATGCAACAATTTTTTGGGTTACAGATGTTTTTGGAAAATCAGCCGAAGATCATTCTGGCACTCGTCTTTGAACTCTTCACAACAGATATTATTACTGCCATCCAGGAAAGGGGAATTTACACGGATGTGTATTTGTGTGTGTGAATGAGTCAGGCCATTATTACTCAGCAACTGAAATGCCTCCAAAAATACACGAGAAATTGATTTTTAGGCCACAGATTCATGTAAACAATTCACCCTGACAGAATCCGGGTGGTTATAGCTTTTGTCTGATGACTTAGAGATATGAGAAAACGGATTTAAGCATAAATATGTGTCATTGTGAAGTAAATTCTATCTTTGTTTCCAAATCAAAGATGTAATATTGAATTGCCACTGTTAAAAAACAACCAACTTTATATGAAAAAATGTATCATATGAAATGAGCTGCTGGCAAAAATAATTAGCCATTACTTTGTCCTTGGAGTGAAGGGTACTGTCTTTATGACTCCTATTAATCTAATCGTCACCTGAAGTGAAATAGCTTTCACCACAGGCAGGTAAACGTGGTTCAACTCCCACACACACACACACACACATGCACTCACTCACGCTCACAAATACAAACAGATGCACACACACACACACACACACACATATCGACCATTTAACATTAGTGTAAGCAGTGTTTGTATGCTCCATTCTGTCACCTCCCACACAATACATTCATAAAACGGCTTCTCGGCGCCAAAGCCACTGATTCATTAGAGGACATCTCCCCCCTTCTCTTTTCTCTCTCGCCTCCTTCCCTCTTTTAACCCCTCTGCCCCCCCATGTATCTGTCCCTTTTTCTGCTTCTTCTTTTTATCCCATTTCCCTCCTCATCCTGCCTCACCTACCTCCTCATTCTCCTTCTCCCCCCAGTCCCCCACCCCCAAGGGCTGGTTGCAGCCGGTTTGAGTCTGACAGTGGAGAGAGGGAGCTTCGACCTCTCACCTTCGGAGGATGGAGGGAGGGAGCGGAGGCAAAAGAAGAGGGATGATGGAGGGCAGCGGGGTGGAGGGATGCTGTGGAGCAGAGGGAGGGGGGAGGGGGGGGCTGCAACTGCAAGAGGCGAGGGAGAGGTCAAAGAACAGGAGGGATTTGCGGTGAAAGAGGGGAGAGCTGCTGGGGAAGGGACTGACTGAGAGCTAGAGAGAGGGAGAGAAAGAGGACAGAGGGGTCAGGAAGGAGAGGGAGTGATAAATGAAGGGAGAGTGGCAGGATGGAAGGATGAGGAGGGAGGGATGGATTGTGCGAGGGGATGAGAAGGAGAGAAAGACAGAGTGTGAAGCTGCTGTGTACCTCCCTAACAAGCTGGACAGAATCAGCTCAATTATTAAAGAGGAGCGAGAGATGGGGAAAACACGCAGACATGCAGACGTACACGCAGAAAAAGCATCTCTCAGTGTCTGGCACACAACACATACTCGCCATCTTTCACACACACACACACACACACACACACACACACACACACACACACACACACACAAACACACACACCTACATCTACTGTACCTGATCTGCACAGATCAACATACTTACACACGCACTGTACGACTGATTTTCGTGTCTCTTCACACTTGTGCGTCACAGTTATCTGTGTGTTTGTAGCGGCGTGCGAGTGTGCGTACACATGTGTCTGGGTTTGTGCGTTGAAAACAGTGAGTCAGAGGATAAGCAGAGACTTGTTAGTGATTCTCCTCAACACCCCCGAATCCCCCTCCACCACACCCCCACCCAATTTGGCTCCGGCTCTGTCTCAACGTTCCAGCGCCGTGGCTCCAATGTCGTCCCATCAATACGAACAGATAATCAGAGCACTAAGGGGTCTGTCTATAAACCCCCACTGTGAATATGGTTTGCACCTTCTTCCCTTCCTTCCTTTCTTCTCTCACTCCCTTCCTCTCCCTCTCCCTCCCTTCTCCTCCTCCTCGTCTTCCTCTCTTGCCCGTTCCACCCTTGTTTCTAGTTCTCTTTCTTCTTTCCCTTTTCCCTCCTTCTCTGAGGAAGTGTTGCCCCCAAGGGACGAAAAGATTCGCTACCTTCCAGGAGAGAAAGAGATTGTGTGTGTGCCTCTCTCAGTGTGTGTGTGTGCGTGAGAATGTGTGTCCTCCACATCTGTGTGTGTGTGTGTGTGTGCGTGAGAGTGAGAATACACACTTCCTGAGACAGAAAGGGAGAGAGAGGCAGGGATAGAGCAAGTAAAGAGCGAGTGAGAGAGTGAAAGCAGAAGGCTGTGGAGGGGGAGGAGAGAGAAAGAGATAAGAGAGAAAGACTGAGAGTAGTCGGGGAGAAGGGGGAAGATGGATGAATTCACTGCGCACTGTGTGTGTGTGTATGTGTGTGTGTGAGACAGATAGTTAGACAGAGAGATGGTAGGGAGATGCAGGTATGGAGAGCGACTGAAGGGTTTCTTTTCCTCTCAGCAGAAGTCATAATTTCTTAGAGCCTGTACAGATGTTTTTGTGTGTGTGTGTGTGTGTGTGTGTGTGTGTGAGAGAGATTTTGTACTTGCCTGATTGTGTCTGTTTGTATCTGAGTGTATTGCTTCAGCCAGGCTCGAGGCCAAGAACCGGAGAGGAACAGTGTAGTGTTGATGTGTGTAGCCGGAGCAGCATGCGTGTGTCTGCGTCTGCTTCTTGAGAGGTGTGTAAGTTGAGGCTGTGGTTGATGAGCTGTCAGTACCTACAGTTGGAATGTTCACAAGGCGGCCATTGTTGTTCAAACAGCCAGCAGCCTTCTCCTTGGCAACGGGCGC